AATTTAGCCTTAATTCACCCAGTCTTCTTTTGATTCACATAAAACTGCGCCTATTCCGAGAGTCAATATACAAGCTGGAATAGTAATAATTATTATTGCTTGTATAATGCCCTACACAAAGCTTTGACGCCGGCATCACGGAGCGAAAACATACACACACACACACATACACACGCATTTTTGTTGCCAACAATCCGTTTCACGGTGACATTCGAACGCTTATTTTTTATGGAATTCAACGTAGATAATTGTCGGATGATTATTCAAGTCGTCGACGATTAAACATCCTGACGTTTCACTTAATGAGACAGTACGTATAGCAATGTTTGTCATTTTTCTTAATACCTACCAATTAATTACAGTTGAAAGTGAACACGTGCGACTCTGATACGAAATTTTTAATGGATAAACTTGTTTTTCTTTTTGTATGCTCAATTTTTTTTTCATACACTAATAATGTGAGCTATTTACTAGCGTTTAACAATCAATCAAATATAACTTCTTTTCAGTAAGCACTGTAAATCATTTTCTACACGTGCTGATGATTCTTGAAAACGTTTAATTACAGGTTTTCTTCAAATACTGGTCAGCTAGAATAGAACAAGTGTCATTTCGAACATCAAAACTAGGTCAAGTGAACAATTAGGAAGACAGTTCAAAACTTCGCTTTATCTGTGATTTTACCACTGTTTCGTATGTGTATGTTTGATACACAAATGACATGGAAAAATTCACTGGAGTCGACACTAGATCTCCTCACAGTAAATATTTATTACAGACAGTATCGCAGTGCCGGGCGGCGGTGTTTCTGTGCCATAATGAAAACTATTTTTATTGCCACCCAACCCGTCATCGTTTTGCGTTTGCCGGGGTTTGTTTGTACTCCTTATCGGCATCTCGTGAATGTTGTGTGGCTTGGCTGGTGTTTATAATAGAATGCACGTTGCAAATTGTGTCCTCAGCTGTACATATGCGCTTTCGAATACTGCTGCATTTAGACGACCAAGGTCTGAAGTTAGAAGCGTTGCTGTTGTTGCTGTTTGTTGTATATTGCATTACTGTCGTTTTGCTACTTTAAACGATTTGCATTATAAGCAGATTTTGATATGGTTTTGTCAGATAACTGATAGAATAACAAACTTTACTAATGTGAATGTTATTAGAATCCACTAATTGCACTTAGCATACATGGGATTACATTTTCCTGCACAAAATCTTTATAAAGGGCGAACACGAAATTATTGCAACACTTACAACTGGCTTTATTATTATTCCTACTAGACGGAAATTAACCAAACTTTGCATAGTTTCTCTTTGAAGTGTATTGTTTACATCCTGTAAATTGCATTATTGTCTGTTACGATGCGATTTCCATGCGAAGATGGAAGTGAGTCAAGTGAAGACGCGTGAAAAAAATTGGCGTTCTCTGGCGTTCCATTGACATTTTCGTATCCAATAGTCTTGAAATTTCTCTGTATACCTTTAGGAAATTCTTAGACTACAATCTACAATTATCTCAGTATTCTTAATAATTCTCGCGAAGTTTCGCTTTATTTATAATAATTCTTTTTTAAAGTTACCTTTGGAATAATCCTTCGAATATTGCTAAGAATTTGCTTGGAGTTCATCTCAGTTTTGCCTTGGAAATCAAAACAGGAATAACTAGGAATTCTCAGGATTTTTTTCTTTTTGGAACTTCCCATAAAATTATGCTAAGCGTTCTTAAATCATCCTCCTGAATCCCTTTTTATTCCGATTGAAATACCTCATTGGCATTTATTTGCATTTATCTACTCCATTGAGAATCATGAATTTTGGCCTTATTTCTTACTACATACTGCATTCTTTAGGGTCAAAAGTTTTACAAATTAATAATCTATACTTCATGTAAGAATTTTGGTTTAATAATGCGATAAAACTTGTGATGTTACTTGCGGTTTTGCGGTATTTTACCATATTTAAATGTTCCAATTAAACCGGGAAAGCCAGGTTAAACAACGGGGAAAACCAGAAAACAAGCAGGTATTTAAATCCTTAAATAGATTGGCCACCCTGCATTTGTTTCAAGTCCGTTATCTTCAAAATCATTTTAGATTATACAATTTCACGTTTCCATTGCATATGATTCAAATCACAAATTTTCTGAGGTTTCAAAAACAAAAAATCTGGTTCCAATAATCTGGCTTGTAGTCTTGAAAGGTTTCCAAGCCACGATGGTATAAGAAACCTTTCAGGCCCTAGAGATTTTTTCAATGACCCGAAATTTGAAAAAATCTTTGAAGCTCGATAGCTGTAGCAAAATCTTCAGTGTTTTTATGAGTTCATAAAATTTTGTCTGGAATCAAAAAATTTCCAAGTCCAGATTTAAAAAAATCTAACTCCAAGATCAAGAAATCTTTTCTATGTTTCTCAAGTATTTTAATTGTTTTAGGTCTGTGAACTTACATTATTACATATCGAAAAATATTCCAGGTTTTCTTCATTAGTTTGTATTAGAGATCACGAATGTCTAAGTCGTAAGATTTAAAAAAATGTCCAATATCTATCAGATTTAACCCAGAATCTTACAATTTTTTTCAAGATCGAAATTTTAAATCATGCATGCATGTAAAATTTTCTAGGTCCGTCACCTTTCCAAGAAGGTAAATTTTCCTCACTGCAATGATAATTTTTAAGTTGCTTAGGCTCCAGAGTCCGACTCCAAGCAGTCCAAGATTTCATAATACAGTTATATGTTCAATCTTTCACTGTCAGCAAGACATTCATTCTAATAAGGAATTCACGATCTGAATCTAAATTCAACTTATTAAATGCTTTGTTTCCATAAAATTAAGGCAGAAAAATAAGTAAAGTGTGAGGAAATGAAGGTTAAAAATGAACTGTGATCTTGATTATTCAATTAATAGTTATTTTTTCGAAATCAAATTTACGGGAACCTTCAACCATTTGTTTTATTTTAAAAAAAGCTTGAAAAATGATCCTGGTGGGTTGTCAGTTTATAATATTTCTCTAAGCAGGACGCAATCAACAACCGATGCGATCAATAAATGTCACTATTGGTCACATTTTGATTGTTTTGAAGTCACTATTTGGTCATTATTTTCTTCACTTTAGTCACTAAAGTCACTTCTATTGTATCAAATACCCACTACCGGCCCTGACATTGATTACACCCTGAATTTTTCCGAGTCCCTTCACAAAATTGTTCGAAATAGGGTAAACGCTCCTGTAGTTGCTTATGAAGTCTCTATAAGCAACTGTAGGATCCTAACGTTTCTAACGTACCACAACCAGTGATGACATAACACTCACTCAATCCTCCAAATATCACGCGTGATATTAGAATAAAATATCAAATATGATACTGATTTTACTAGCTCCTTAAATATTGCGAGACTATTCACAACATTTAAATTTGTAGCTAAGAGTTGACTCAACACAAAAATAATTCTGATGCACGTCGTTGTCTTAGAAAGAGAAAGCATAGTTTGCTGTCTCTCTTTACTCTTCATAGATGCCAGACACGAAGCTACTCTACTGCTACCAGCAATGAAAGAAGTTTCGGTTCGTGTTCGGGTGTAGTTACAGCAAAAATCTTGATGCTCAAACTCATCAAGGTTTTGTGATAATTGTAGCTGGTGAGTTTTGTTAGCATGATATCAGACCTACCGTATCACAGCTTGTAATATCATCCACTGTTGTTTGCTTGTTCAGATTTGATCTTTTGATATTTTCCCAACACTGACCTCAACTATAGGAGCGTTTACCATATTACGTGCGCTAAAACCCATAATGTGACACAGCAAATCATGTGAGAATTCACGAACAAGATGATTGGCATTCATTGAGTTTCCGGCATCACTCTGGCCGCACCTGGACATGTTCTAGACACTTAACGTGACGAATCGAATGTTACCAATAATTTGTCAAGATAAAATTCAAAACAGAAGGTAGAGGTTTCTAAAACATGTCCGCGTTTATAAGAAATTATTCATTGGTGCCCAGGGCGTACACAAATACCATTGACACTTTTGTGTATAATTTGCCGAAAGGTGTTGATAAATTTATATTTCGAGCATTCTGCGGAAATCTCCAATCTGTTTTCTGTCCAATTAAGAAAACATAATATAATTTTTAATATTTTTTAATAATTTTTTAATTTAATATAAAAATTAAAAAAATCCTTGATTTGTTTTCCGTCGATCTTGTTTTCCGGACTGAGTACCAATGCTACCGACCTCAGGAAGGCAGCTCCCACACCTGGACCCTACCACCTATCGACCCAACAACTCATGGACCGGGGACCAACGGCTTTACTTCCCTTCCGAAGGCGGATCAGAGATTTTATGCTTCAGAAAATCCCGCTGGCGCCGACTGGGAATGAACCCAGGCCCTTTGGTGTGAGAGGCAATCACGCTTACCACTACACCACCGGCGCCGCTATTAAAATTTAAATATAATCTAGATTTTTTTTATTGTTTACATTGTTCTGCCTTTACTTTGTTCATTGAATGTTGAAAAATAAGGATTACATTACCTGCATAAAAATCTATAAATTTCAACAGCACAAAAGCATAACACAATGCTTTAAAAACTAAATTTTGCTTAAAAAAGCTGTGAAAATGAAGCTAACGCATCATAGGCTGTATATGACATACTATCGTTGGAAATTTTGCTCCAGAAATTACGGGGCTCTGCCGGTGACCCAAGCTCCGCGTGAAGTGTACACATCCAAGTGCATAAAACAATTAAATTATCATGAATGTAAGATGCTGCATTTCCTTGTTCTAAAAATAAACAACAACGATTATCAGTACCGTCTGAGAAAAAGGATTGTGACGCAATTTGCGGGACTTATTTGTCTCTCATGCAGATGATTTGCAAATTGTTCGGCGGCAATACTCGATGAAGCGTTCGGTCAGATGGTTCGATGTGTGTTTGTTTGTTTCTATGACAAATTATTTTATTTCATTCTCAATTCCTCTCCTCCCGTTACGTAGGTTCAAGAGTGTCCAATGGTTGTGCAGAACGGCATCGTCTTCTTTATTTCCGATCTGCAATTCCCGGTTGTTCAATGTGCATCACACGGCCAGCGCCTGGATGACGTGGACCTTTGCAAACAAGACGTCCCCGAGCAGCAGCTGACTGAACTCAACTAGTGAGGGTGCATCTGCTTCCCCGTTCGGATAGTAGCAGCTGATCGGAATTTATTTGTTGCAATCTAAGGAGGAGGAGGAGGTCGAACGATCGACGATCCTCTCGAGCAGTGGGACACGCGTGCCTGCATTGAGCAAAAACCAATTGTGATATTCGAAGAGCAACAACAAAGTACAAATTAATTAACCTTAATTAATCGCGGCTTCCGAGCGTGCTGTGTATCTCCTAGTGTCTAATTGCCTAGTGTGAGTTAGGCACGCTAAAAATATACGTTAATTAAATGGAAACTGCTAACCGACTGGTGATACTGGAAGAGCAAAAGCAGTTGCAACGTGCGAAATGTAAGGACGAAGGCAAAAAGAAGGTCAAGAAAAAAGTTGATTTCATTGGAGACGAGGTCAAGGACGAAATGGCAGAGGATTCAATGTCGAAGAATGTTCCGGTCAGTCCTATGACGGATGATGACTTTGAACATATATTCGAAAAATCAATGCAAGACCTTGAGACCATAAAGTCGGACTCCGATAGTGATTTTGGCGATGACCACGGTCTTCCAATAAAGAAAACGGCAGTCCCTGTCAAGGGTCAACGGAAGAAAAACAGTGCCTCCTCAAGTGATAGTAGTGTAAGCGATGTTGAAGAAGATATTCACTCGTGGATTGAAAACTGTCAGAAATCTCCCTTGAGCCCAAGACGAATCGAGTTTCCTCCGTTGGTAGCGGTTCATCCTTCGGTGCTTCCATTTGCGGTGCGACGTAGGTTATCCGAATGTGTAGAAGAAGATGAAGAGGACGACAAACACCACAGCAGCAATTATGCCAAACAAAGTACAGCCACCGCTGGCGATTGTACAATCAGGATTAATCCGCCACCCACTAATGGGAATTCTTCCCAGAAAACTGAAATTGCAACGCCGGTTCGTAAATCTCGATTCTCGGTAACCAAAGCAAGTGAACTTCCTCAACTTCGACCGGAGTCCATCAATCTGCGATCCCTGACGGCTGCACAAAATTCTCAAACAATCCACTTCCCGTGCAGTCAATTCAACCCGGATCGTACATCGCTGAGAAGTATGTTCTCGCCGGAGTCGCCGTTTCCAAATCCTCATTTGGATAAACAGTTTTTCGACACGTCGCTGGTCGAGATACGACCAATTACCAGTAGTATTACGTCTGCCACTGGTATCGGTGTCTCGCCTGATGACAGCCCCGGTAGCAGCACCAGTTCTACCAGCAAAAATACCATGCCATTCGAACTGGACGAAGTGTGGGTCAAACGTTCGGACAGAGAATATTCACCAAAGAAGCCATCAGTCGGCGGCCCGTCGACGGTAACGTCCTCTAAATCGGCAACATTGCCGGCGGCATTTTCGAAAGCATCATCGAAACCGGCGAAGAAAGGCACCACGAGCGTAAGTTGGGAAGCAATTATTGTTAATTAACATATAGCTTTCGGAAGATCATATCGTCTTGCAAGAATAGCATCCCGTTAATTGGTGTTAATTGGGTTACGAAAGGTCTCTGTTCTAGTTTCAGCTGGCACAGTCAGGACAAGATCGATTTCGCTGTGCAGGGTGATTGTGATGGTATCATTTGAAGAAGAGTGGTGGTAGGCTGGTCATACTTAGCGTGCATTTTTACTTCTACTATCTCATTTTTTGATTGGGTCTCATAGGTTAGTTATGCGAATAACTGCACTATAGGTATGCACCTACTATCAGATGTTATGGTAAATGTCTGAAATTTCGAAGGCACTAAAAATACAAAGCACCATACCCACATGAAAACAAATTGTATGGATAGAAAGAGTAGCTTAATAGGGTTAGATGGCACAAGATAAGTCACGGGGCAAGATGGGTGATCTACTTGATTTATTTACTATTTCGATTGTCAACATCATCAGGCTCAATATAGCCTCAATACAGGCTTCGAAAAGCAAACCATCATTGAAGTGCATTGAACCTGTTGGTTTTGACAAACAAATAAATTGATAAATTTACTAGCTGACCCATCTTTGCCCCACTTTACCGTACTACGTTCAAAGTATAGCTTATATAACGTAATAAAGGCTATCTTGATATTAAAAGTCATACATATACTTTCCAGTGAAAATTGGACAGATGAGTGCTCATTGCAAGGCAGTCTATATTACGTGATATAAGCTATACTACCCATAATCGCATATCAGTCCCATCTTTGCTTGATTTCCTATCCATATGGGACTGATATGCGAATATGGGCAGTATAGTTTGAACGTAGTATAAGAAGACGAAATGTGTAAAAAAATCAACCCTTGAGAATGTCTTTTCCATAGAAGTCTAAATTTTCAAAAATCCTAAACTGGACAAATATATCATACAAAATAAGAAATCTCGAAAAATTAACAATTTTCTGATCTTGATTTTTTTTTTCAGTTGTAGGCTTTGATATCGGAAAACGGTTTTTTGTCTTTGACATAGAATTTGGTTGAGTGTGTAAGAAGCTAGAGCTATGTAGTAAAGGTAATAGCTGCGAAAGCCTGTCCTTAAGTAGGAGTACTTTCTCTCCTCTATGGTCTCTAGTTGTTGATGATCTTCTATTAAAGCTAAAGCAACAAGGATTCAAACTAATTAGACTCGTGGATAACATTATTATTATAGTTCGTGGAAAATTTGATAGAGTCGGTTTCGAAATAATGCAAAGAGCATTAAAATCCACACTAGTGTGGTGCAAAGAATAAGACATGAAGTAGACATGAATCGTAAGAAAATATGTGTGGTAGGTACGTAAAGTCTTTATCGGTGACTTAAACTAGGAGATTTTAAGTTGTCACTATCCTTGGAAGCTATGTATTTGGGAGTAATTTCAGATAATAAAATCTGCTGGAATAAACATCGAGCAACAAATAGGCAAAGCAACAAGTGTTTTTCGGATTTGTACACGAATATTTGGTAAAAATGGGGTCTAAAGCAAGGTTGCAAAGACTCATTTCAGCTAAAACAATGTTTTTCTAAATTATGAAATAATTAGATGCCATGATCAAATTTTGAATTGGCAGGATACAAGAAAAGGTTGCAAAGAATGTGTTTGACATATTAAACCTGTTTATTTCACTTCATGAGAGTCACAATCAGCGATTTTTCACAAACTCACTCACTCACTCACTCACTCACTCAGCGATCAGCAAATCGCTGATTGTGACTCATAGAAAGCAAAATTTACAGGTTTTATGTTTCCAACGCATACTTTGTAACCTCTTCTTGTAAGTTACAAGTAAAACATGCCATCATACCATCTTTTGATTTTATTATTCCGAAAAACATTATTTTAGCTGAAATGAGTCTTTGCAACCTTGGTCTAAAGTCGAAGATGATATATTGGAATTAGTCGGTAATGCATCATTAATCTCGTGACCAAAAACCAAACAACAAACAGCTCAAGTCAAATTAAACAAGTTACAAGGGCTTGCTATCATTTCCGGAACTTCCTCCTTTATATCAATTTAATCTATTAGATGAAATGGAATGTGCTCTGAAGCTCAAACGGTTCATGCATCTCTTTGCAGGAGACGTTTTTGTACATCTGAGCATTCTAAAAGAGTTCATTAATATTGATAACGAAGATTGCACGTCAAAGCGACACAATTTCGACCATAAATTCAAGGTTCCTGATGTGATTCGTCTTGATTGGGATGCAGGAGGACCGGTTATTCGTCCTGGCTCAATATATTTTTATACAGATGGATCGAAACAAGATAATATCGGAGGTGCTGGAATAACCGGCTCAGGGATTAACTTTTCGGTGTCGATGGGAAAATGGCCTAAAGTATTTCATGCAGAAATATATGCAAATACCTACATATATGTATTTGTTCAGATAGTTAAGATGCGTTGAATGCTTTAAAATCAGAAACTTACACTTAAAAATTGGTGCAGGAACGTACTAAGTTGTTGCAGCAACTGTTCTATCATAATTAAGTTAAACTATATTGCATTCCTGTTCATCGCGGAATAGAAGGAATTGAATGATCCGTTGACGAAAAAAGGACCCGCATTGGACCCGAACCATTTTTTGAAACATATTCTTGTGCTCTCAAACTGGAGCTCAAAAACTAAGTAAAAATAATGGTTCATACTCGGGTTTGATAACAGGACATTGTTCTATTAAATATTATTGGAGAACTTCAGTACGACAATTGCCGTTTTTGTAACTTAGAGAGGGAAAGCTCTGAACATTTGCTGTGTGCCTGTGTTGCACTATTCCATAAACGGTGTAGATATCTTGACAAAGGACTTATGGCTCAATGGGAAATCTGGGCCACTTCCCCCATAAAGAATGTATTACCTGATTGAGATAATTGCCAAAAACAGTAGGGGTGGCTACACACATAAATAGAGGCTTACCACGGAATGGCATAAACTAAAAAGAGGATTCACCGCAATAGATTTAAGTAATGGTTGCCTTTTTCTTGAACTTCGGTGATCCAATCTTTTTGAAATTTCGCTCATTTGTTGTCATAATGAAGGTATTTCATATGCCGCTTATTTGACTAAAATCCGCCCTATTCGATTAAAGTTGACAATCGAGTATTTTACTAAAATTACTCAAACTACATACCGGCTCTGCCTATAAAGATAATAACTATTCCAATAAATCAATAAATAGTTGTTCAACCATCTTTTAAAAATCTATCTTTTCAAACTGAGCATTTCCAGGATGAATAGAAAAAATGTCTTGAACATCTCCGATTTGCATGAAACTTTGCATAATTGCATGGTAATCATTCACATGTTTGCTAAAATTCGACCTTTATGAATCTCGTATTTTTTTTACAATATGGCGTCTTTAACATTCTATCGACCCATCAACTCATGGACCGGGGCCCAACGGCTTTACTTCCCTTCCGAAGGAAGGCGTGATCAGAGATTTTATGCAATGCAAATGTGAGAGGCAATCACGCTTACCACTGCACCACCGGTGCCGCTAAATGACGTTTACGGGCTACAATTTATTGAAAAAGAAGCCATTTTGAAAAGAAAATCACGGGAACATCAGGAAAATCACGTGAATGATTACCCACAACAAACAATTATGCAAAGTTTCATGCAAATCGGAGCAGGTAGACGTTTTCCCGATTCGTCATTTGGCGTGGAACTACTCAAATTTGTGATACACTGTATGTGCCGTGTCAGATAATCGTTGAATTTACCGGTTAGAAATTAGTCTCGTCTCTTCTCACTGGCTAGTCTCCGAATACCACTATTGTAAACTTATTTTCTATTCTAACTAGCGCGTTACAATTTAATGCTGATACAGCTACTTCATTGCCAACATTCAAATATTTCCAATGATTTTTAGTCGGAATCACTTTTCCGAAACACAAAAGCAACAGTTTTCCATGAACAACTCGTAAAATTTCATTACTTATTGGAATTTTATGAACAACCTGGCTGAAAATTTCACTTAATAAAGGCGGGATGAAAAATCAATACTAATTTATATCGTAATGAACCACTCTTTTTTAAAGATTTCAGCATTTTGTTTTCGGGACAAGGTTTGTCTTAGTATTGGCAAGCAATGCAACTATACAAACACCTAGCTCGACTAAGCTCGACGAGATCGGAAAATGTCCATGTGTGTGAGTGTAACGAAATGTTTTTAGGTCATGTTTCTTAGCAATCACTGAACCCAAATAATAGTACTACGGCTTTTGAATATTTTTAGAATCGGCAAGACCTGGCACGAATAAAACCATCAAATGGCATGAGCATTCAAAAACCAGTTCAATTGTAGCCATTTAGAGTGCCCAGAACCACACTGTCCTCATCCGGATATGTTCCGGTTACCCCCGGGAAAGTGGCCAGTTTCTGACTAGGGTCAAATCAGTTGAGAATTCATCTATCATCTTTCATCATGTCGGAATTTATATTAGTAAGATTGGTCAGATCTTACCATAAGTGGATTAAAATGGACCAAATCATCAGATCATAAACGAAAAGGATTATATAGAATATGCCTAAAAGTTAAAATGCTATTGCATTTAGCTACGAATACAAAATTTACATTACTTTAACTGCCTAGAATCACATATCAATCACATGTGGATTTTCGTCATTTTCTAGATACCGCTATCCAACTATCAATTGGCATCTACTTTCATATTTGACCCTATTACGAGTGTTAGTAATAACGAAGTGATTCCCATTTGACAACTTGTTCCTTCACCGTGAAGTGACATCGGTAATAAGAGCCATTATGAGAGAAAAATACGGAATTTGATCGTGAAAAATGTGAAAACAAGTCCCAAGTATGCCAACATTCTAGTCAAAATTCTACTACTACACTATGTTTGTTTTGATTCGCTATGAAATTTTGACAGATAAAATGAGGGGTTCGTTTCCTATGTTTCGAAGGGTGATCGATTAGCTTGGGACCGAAGAGAGTACCAGAGCTGAGCCAAAAAGTTCAGCACATTTCTTCGGGACCTTCTGGTCTTAGAGTTACCTCTATGGTTCAAGGCAGAAGAACTTTTGTCAGCAAAAGCAAAGGGGATTCTAGAAAGTACACTGTCCATAAAAACATAACAGTAACATGTTTGCTTGATTTCCTATTCAAATGGAATTTTGTTGCGTTTATGGGTAGTAGGGTAGAGCGCTACTTCGTCATAATCGCCCATTTCCGTTCTATCGATCAGAAAAGATCAATAAAATCAATGATTTCACCATGCACAAATCAATAATAGGTTTGTTCCGATGCGTTAGTTCATTAGCTACAACATAAATCCTGTTAGAGCGCATTGTATGAATATTTACGCTCATTGTTCTCAAAACAAACGAAGCGCTCCTAGCGAATCCCCTTTTTCTACGTTTATCCGTAGGACGAAGAAAATCTAATGGCGTTTCAATGCGTTAGGACGGAATTGAAACTCGTAGAACGAATTTAGAATCAAGAAGCAGTGTTAGATTTTAGACAATATCGCAACAATTTGTGACTCTTTATCAAATCCAACGGTACGTATGGAAAGGTGAATAAATTTGCAATTCATCTTTGACAGAAATATTTTATTTTTTGTTTAAACTCGTTCAGAAAAGAGAGGTAAAGCGCGGGTTGTGCTTAGTAGGAGGGAAATTAGATCAAAAACACTACACTTCGTGCCCAAAATTATGTATGTATTGATTGCAGTTCGGGAGGCAAGTGTACGGGTAGTTTTGACTAATCAGGGCGAAGATCGGGACATCCAATAGATTATGGAAATGACGAATGGCTTCTTTGTTCGTGTACTTGTGCTTGCAAAAAAAAAAAAAGTAGAAGGGTCTGTGCCTAGGGGCACGAACGGAAGCTTGACGTCGGACCGCTAGTGGACGAAACAAATGTGAACATTTAGTTCTTTTATCAATCATCAATTATCTTAACTCTTTCCGTTTTTTATTTGTAAGCGTATCAAATTTGTAGTATTTATTTCAAAGAGAAAGTTGATGAAGAGAATCCAAGGGACTGTCAACTTGAGTATTGTCGATTCATCTACCCGACTTTAAAAGGTGTATTTTGATTTTTTTGTTATTTATGAATTTTTAAGTTTTGTGCATTTTGGTATTAAAGTGTATTCAATTCACCCCTCACAGGATTTCCTCCCGAATTAAATAAATGGGGCGGGCGGAAAGTATCGTTTGTGCAGAATATATAAAAAAGGAGAGACTTCAAGAGATTGAACTCGTGAGAGCTAATTTTCTCACAAATTTGATTTTATTGGCTTTCTGGGGACTGAATACACACCCAAAGCGAATTATTCCCACTTCTCTCAAATTCTACATGGATTTTTAACAGTTCCTACCAGCGTGTTCTGGAAAATGGTCGGACGATGATTAATCTCACCATCTGACCTATTGAAAATTAACTAAGTGTTCATTTTAGCAGATTGGTAGATAAATTTCCAATCGTTTGGCTTGTTTAGAATTAAAATCTATGGTCGAAACTTGACCTCTTTTCGTAATGCTGTGCATTTTGGTTTTTTGAAATTGCGTGGATTCTATAGATCCTGTGGAGATCTATCTAGCCCTGATGTATGTGTTGGTAGAGGGAAAAATGTAAATTTTGCGAGAGACAATGTCTTAACACTCGAAAGCAATTTTGTGAAATATGAAGTAAAACCAATCCTAGCTAGTTCTGCATGATGATTTTGTTTGATTTTATTTATTTGTAAAGTCGCCGGGAAATACCCGCTGGCGATTTGTATTTTATGATAACTCCTTACTTGAAAACAGGCAAAAACTCACAAACAGGCTGCTTTTTCATGGTATACAGTGTGATAATTCAATAATCAATAAATTATCTCAACATTTAGTGGCAAACCATTCATACATTTTGGTAACATACAAAAAAATCTACAATCCACATTAAATTTCATATGTAAGCGCCGATTGAAACAATCTTTTCGACGTCACTACAAGGGTGATTGATTAAAAACTAATTGCACCAATATATTCAGGCCTACAATTCTACACCTTCTATAGACAGGTTGAGCCTTGATAGCTAGCTGCTTGCGGGAACTGATGACCTTGACCAATGTCCAAATAATATTCTTTAACAAATTTTTGGTGGCCCTGAAAAGGACCGTTTTGTAGTGATGGTTGAGTAATTCTGAGCTGGGTGTTCGACACGGATGAGGCTGTCGAGCTGTATGTCGTTTGGAGCGAGGGTGACACGCTTGGCATAGATGACCGACCCGCAGCGACTCACGAAGAGCTACTGATTCCGATCCATAGCATAGCGGTGCAGCTTCTTCCTCCTTTGATGGTTGCTTATGTGGGCTCTGCAGCTCGCTGCTTGCAGGCAACCTTTCGTTGTTACTGGAGAACAACTTTCAACGCCACACGCCGAAAGCAATGCTACTGCTGCAACTAATTTCGACGACCGAACACCACCACACAGTGGTGTGGTCGTTGGAAGCGTGTGGTTCTGAGTATGGCGATGAGTGTGCAAAATATTGCGCAATTCCATCCTCCCTATTCGCACGCGCCCGAGGATCGGAGGCGAATGCCACTTCGACTTGTTTCATCTACTTACTACTCTCTGACGACTGTGCTGGGGAAGCAGCATATGCATGTAGGTAATTGGTGGATTTGTTAGTTAATTAGACGCTTTTAAACAATGCTAGAAATTTACCAGTTTTTCAATAGTTTCTTGTTGAAAATCAACATTCGGAAGCATTTTTATCGATGCGTAGCCATATTTCTGGTCGATTGGTGATAAAATTATTGAAATTGGATCTGGGACAGCTGAGTTATTAACGTTCAAAATCTTTCTTAATTTGTTACATGTTTCATTCTCGGTTTTCACAAAGTGTACCCCCATATAGAAATCAAAGACGTAGTCCTACGTCAAAAACATATCAAAGATGAAGGTTCAAAAGAACGTATCTACTTTTGTAAACAAAAAGTAAATTTGTCGAAAGTTTTACACGCAAAACAGCTGACATAAACATCAAATGCAAGCATGGATCTCCAACATCCTCTGTATATGTTTCTTACAAGAAATGTAATGGGCATGGCAGTTCTTGCAATGGGCTGTAGCTTACAAGCAAGTTTTTCCGGAACTAATATTTTTTTATTTTCTTCACGAGATGAGCAAACGTAAGATAAGTCTAATGTATTTGGGAAAACACATTTTGTTCGAAAATTTAGCTATCATAAAAAATTAAAAAAAAATATTCAAAAAACCATCCGATGACCACAACGAATCTGTTCGTACGGTGAAACATTGCAAATTCTATATGTATACTTTTTAGGCAAATCTGTAATATCTAGATAGAGCTGGAATTAGGGCGTAACTGCTTTTAAAAACAATGACTTCTCTCGATGATTTCTAGAAACTCAAAGCTCGCCCCAGCTAATCAATATCACCATAAGGTAGGGGAAGTCTCCCCCTACCCGATGGTTATGTTGGTTTGCGTGGACGCGCCTTGAATTTTTATAAATCATCGAGGGAAGTCATTGTTTACAAAAGCTGTTAGGCCCTAATTCCAGCTCTATCTAGATAAAATCTTACGGCTGGGCGTGACTCACCTATGCAAACTAACACGAGCCAGCTAACAAATTCGACAGATTGATGTTTGAATCTTTGTTAACAAAAGCAGATACGTTCTATTGGAAATTCATGCTTTATTGTTATATTTGTAGGTGCACAGAATAAGACACTAATTTGCGCAGAATTGGGCTCCCCGTATCGGAGATCAAAACTTTTTTTTATTCCCCGTAATTTTAGGTTTCCAATCCAGTGTCCAGTAATATTTTCAGTTAAGTTTAACATTTATTCCGGCAATCGTTTGCTGTCGACCAATTTTTAATTTTTTAATTTCTAGTGAGTGTCTACATTTAGATTTAACTGTTTTATTGAGACTACCAAGTCAGATGGACTATAATAATAATAAATAATAAATTAAAGAATAACACAACATTTCACTGAAGTTATTTTTAATGCCAATTTAATATGTTCTAACTGGCGTTTAAATCATTGAAATGTCTTATCGGAGTTAAATATGGAACGTTCTCTGTATGTTGACAAATATGGTAAATCTTTGTCTGTAGTCCTATACAGCGTCCAATCGTTCATAAACAATCCTTCAGACAGTGTATATACGCTTTGTTTCCTCCACGTAGTATATGTCAATACAGAGTTGGAAAAAGGGCCTAACAGCTTTTATAAACAATTACTTCTCTCGATGATTTCTAGGAAATCAAGCCTCACCCACGTAAACCGTCATCACCATCGAATAGGGTTGCCGATGGTTGATGTTGGTTTGCGTGGGCGTGTCTTGCCATCCTATAAATCATCGAGAGAAGTCATTGATTACAAAAGCTGTTAGGCTCTTTTCCAGCTCTGCATTGATATAAGCTAATAAGATAACGATACTTATTATGGCGAGAAGCCAGCTTTGTCCCTGATGCTTGATGTCATACAATAAAATTAGCTTTGATTGTCCGACGTCCCATCGCCCTATATGATAGAACAAAAATTGATTTATTTCTACATTTGGCTTCACATGTAGTGATAGGTTATGGTAAATATTTTTGACAAGAATAGCCCACCATCAATTAAAATCATTTGTTTATCATCCAGTCAATCAAAATACACATTGAGTTTATCTCTCCGTGACGCTAAACCATCACGCGCTTAGCGTGTTGTTGTCACCGTTTACAACACGTGCTTTAATTACATTCGCTGTCTTTTTACAGGACTCGGCCGATGGGGGCACCCATTTCCAACGGCCTTCGACGGCCCCGGCGGCAACGGAATCGACTCGTTCTTCCAAACGGATGAAGAAAAGCGAACGTGAAGCCAAAAAACAGGAAAAGGAACTGAAGAAAATTGAACGGGAAACCGCTCGGCGTCTGGAACGCGAAGCGGCCAAACTGGAGAAGCTCAACCGTAAACATGAGAACATTTCTCGTAGTACGGAACGTGTGAGCGGAACACGGTCCGGTTCGTTGGAGAGGCGGCGAAGTGGCGACGATGGTCCAGTGTTGAATCAATCGACTGTTCATGGTATGCAGTTAGTAAATATTTTCTCTATGATATATGTAAACAAAAACAACCATTTTTCTCCAGGTATTGCCAGTCCTAATCGTCGACCGACTATTTTCGACGTGTTCCGAACACGCAAAGGGTCAGACTCGAAAAAGAAAAAGGATGACTCTAGCAAATCGAGTTCCGATAAGGAAAGTACAAGCGGTAGTGGTACGATTAGTGGTTCCGGGGGCATCATGAACAGCATGAAAGCGGCCCTGCATGTGGGAGGTCGTCATAGCCACCAAACGGCGAGTCCGCATCCAGAAAGTGCCGCAAGTTCGAAAGTGCGTGACGGTTCTGCTCATCCCCATGCAGGCAGTGACGCACAGGTAATACCACGGACACAATAAGAATGTGACGTTTAACTGAATCGTGACCGCTCGTTTATTATTTATCGGGCAGCCGCGATCAGATGATGCGAGGGTAGGAGAAAATTAACGGTTTGTTTTTTTTTATTTTAGTACTATCACACTGTGACGGCTGTTCGACGAGCTGACGCCGGCAAGTCTCCTATGACCAAGGTGATGGATTTGTTCAGGCATCGTTCCAATTCAGCAGTGTCCGAAGCTGACAAACGCAAAGCGGTAAGTGGTTTATTTATTTCAACTTTCCCCACAGGGTGTGCAAACTGAGATACAGATAGCGCGTTGTGTGCTTTAATGTGTATAGGGCCTGTTCATAAACTACGTAGATAGTTTAAGGGGGGGGGGGGGGGGGCTTGACAATTATTCACGGCCCATACAAATTTAAAAACATTTGTATGGACAATTGTCTACGCAGGGGGAGGGGGGGGGTGTCAAGAATCCCAAAAAACTGTCTACGTAGTTTATGAACAGGCCCTAGGATTAAAGCTGCTGTCTATGCCTGTTATCTAAGATTTAGAGTAGAACATGGCAATAAAACAATCTAAGCTTAAAGCGTCGTGATTTCTGCAAACTTACTACCGTAAATTGTAGTTATCTGATCATCGAAGTACATATTCTTTAAAACGATTGATTTAAAAAAAAAACTTATAAAGGAAGGACTTTTTTTAAAGCTTAGTGTTGAAGACAATTATTTGTGTATCTGCAAATATGACATAAAGCAAAAAGATGCATGAATCTTACGATACACATAAGACACGAATAGCGCCACAGTGAGTGAAAATCAAACTAATATCAAAGACAAACAGACGTAACTCTTTCTCCTCAATGGTCGTACACGCATTTAACGTTCAATTTAAATATTATAAGTTTCATGAATTCCTCACCACAGCACTGGTATCGGATCACTTTGACGTTTCAATATATTGTGTAGTCATGGATGTCCTCAATTTGCTTTTAAAAGGTGAATCGCTGTGGAAACCTTATTTCTAATTAATCTTACTATCACCTCGAAATTTCAAGAGCACTTCAGCATTTCAGCTTTTACATACAACAATGAAAGTTTCCAATTTCATGAGCGATGTCACGATGGTCGTTTTAACGGTTAAAATATCAAAATTGAGAGCAAAAAAATCTTCCTGTGACATAACATTGGAAACTATTTCTGCTATCAGTGAGAGCAAGCTGAAAACTCAATTTGATATCAATTTTTCCTGTTGATAACAAAACAAGTATTCAATTTGATGTTATGCTAAGACAAAGAAAACAAACCCGCAACAACATATTTTTGAAGATCAAATGTACAGCAAAATGAAAACAAAATTTATCAATTGCATAAACTGAAATCAAATTAGGATTTCAGTTTGATGTTATATAAAAACTTGATTTCAATGTGTAGTCATTTTGATGCTGGACTTTGCTCGGAATATCAGCCACCATGACGCCCATTTGCGAACTCTCCAAGGAATCACTTTAATCAAAGCTTAATGTGTTGAAAGATCTTCCACTTGAACGATTGGTGACCATCAAACTAAGATATATTTCCCCACCGTTGTATACGTTTGAGAGCAGGCTTGTTAAATCCTGAGAATGATAGCAATCTTTTCAGCTCTGCTCCTGATAAACTGCAAAGATCAACAAAGACCGTTTGATACGCTGCTTGCCTTTGTGCGTGTGATAGCTGGGCGCTGGTTAACTATGACATCAAGAATTGAAACGTTTGAAACTTTCCTGAATGTTTCGAGGTATTCCTACAGCGTGCGTCACAGAGAAAGATAACTTCCTCATTTTTTGCATAATTTATGAAGAAGGTGTTTATTTGTGTTGATTTCGTGTACAATTAGGACAATTTTTACATTATTCGATACTTCCCTCCCCTCAAATCCGGCTCTGATTACAGATTTGCATAAAAAGCTTGCAGATTTGGCAATATTTCACCGCATTAACAGATTCTGTAATGTGGTCGTCGAAAGGTTCTTTAAATAATTTTGTAATTATGATGTTAGCTTATTTTCCAACAAAGTTCATATCCTCAAATGTACTGGGACTAGAAAATCATCTCATGAAGGTTATGTACGAAAATATTTATTCTAGAAGAAAACTTGCTTTTAAGCTACAGGCTACTGTAAGAACTGACATTACATTTGTGGTAAGAAAAGATACAGAGAAGGTAAGAAATCCATCCTTAAATTTGAAGTTCAGGCCATTTGTTTTGCGTGTAAACAATGACTTCAATCGTGACAGTTAGCTCGCCCACGCAAACTAATAGCACCATTAAAAAGGAGCTTTTTTCCCGTGCGAAAACGAGCAAATTTTAGTGTGATAGGTTACAAAAACATTCAATCAAACTATTGTTAGCATTGGCATTAGCATCGAACAAGTTGCACAATATCGTAGGTGGTACGAATTCAAAACTATTAAGAGCAAGACGGATATCTATTACTGGACAGATAGTAAGTGGGAATTAATTTCTATCTCCGAGATAAATACATATCCCGCTCGAACAGTTAAGGGTTGTCCGGGCCACGTCCTTACAACAGGTAGGGATAGGAACGGTATGATAGTCCAACATTTACTTAAGAGAGATGCAGAGAACTCTACGACTCCTCATAAATGACTCGAGAATTTAGGAATTATGTTAGTAGGGAAGGTAAGTCATAGGATTAAACCAGTCAGGGTTGCTGGTAAATGTAGATTTTTTTAATATAAATGTTAAAATTGCTATCCAGAGCGTCTGCTGGAAGATAAGGTTGCAATAAATCACACACCACAATTTACTAGTCATGCAATACATAAAATACAAAGAATGTAAAATAAACAAGTATTATAAAATACTATTGAGGTGTTTTAAATTAGGTGTTTCATACTGGTTCTTACAGCAGTCACCAACAGAGCCGCCTTCGATCGTGGGGCTGGTGGAAAATTTACTTGAGAATGCATGGTGAAATCTAAGAGGAAGAGGAAACAATTGGCTTCGTTTTGTCTATGACGTGTTCTTCTTCTCTCGCGGAAATGACCGTACAAAAACACTATTTTATTATGGACGACACAGTCAAAATACAAGAAAATAGATTCCCTGTTGTAAAAATTCTCGCGGTTCTTTACGTTCGCCCGATTAATCAGGCGCTGGTTCGCGTTTGACAGAAAATTGGTTCATAAAAGTCCCTTTGTTGTCTTCTCTTCCTCTTAGGGTGAAATTAGCTTTTAATAAAAAATTAAGCTACACGGTAACTCGCAACAACTCAAAATTTAGTCGAACATGCCAGGGTGGCCAGCAAACCGGGAAAACCGGGAATACCGGGAAATATACGGGAATTTGAAAAGTAATCGGGAAAACCGGGAAAAACCCGGGAATTCGACGGAAGATCCGGGAAAACTAAATTAAACATACCATAGGAATAAATTTTTACACCAGAATTTCAGAATAAACCATTAAAATAGAGTGATCCTTTACCAAATGAATGTCTTGCTCTATTTGCTGCATTTTTTTCTGTTTCCTGTCTTATAGTTTTTAGAATTTAATCACTCAGCAATATAGCAAATTGATTTTTGTCGTTTCAATTTCAGATGTAAAGTGTATGATCCTTAAAAGAAAATATTGTAGATGCTGGACTTTGGAAACAAATATTTGTAAAAACCGAAACTGAATTCCTGGTTTTAATTTTTCGTTGTTCAAAATGCTTATGGTATGACTTCCAGAATTAACTTGGAATTCTGCTCGAAATTATCATGGAATTTTCGGAAATTAACCAGAAAACACTCCACGTAATAATTACTGTTGAATTCTTGAAACCCCTTCTAAGAATTTAATTGGAATCCTTCTTAGAATTCCCTTGAACCTATTTGGAGACTTTGATTCATTTGGAAATCTTTTCAAACATTTCTTTTAACTCTATTCAAATTTGGACAATGATTCTTTTACGTTCGATAGCAAAGAAGTGGAGTCAAAGTGGTGTTTTGTGGAATGCTACGAAGAACACAATTATGTAAATGCAGTGAAAGTGTTTAACCCAGGAAATTTTAGATGTAAAATCAGAACATACTTGCTTTAAATTTTTAGATGTCTACGGTGTAAAAGTTTGTACATACAATGATGATAATTAAAGAATATTTAAAAAAGAAGAAGAATTTGAATTAAGTGACGGTGTATTGAGCCTTAAACTCAGTGTAATCATATTTTTCACATGGTTTTGGGTGTCAATAAGGATGCAAAATATGGTAAAAATTGAAATTTGAACATGGTGGTGTTTACATCGGTGCTAAAGCATCTACCTTTTTTGTGAAAGGATATCGTGGTAATAAGGGGGAATAAAAATAAATGGAACGGGATTTGAGAGGATGGAAACTTAACCGGGAAAACCGGGAAGACAATTTGTATGGAGTCTTCTGTTAAATTCTGTTATATTAAACAAAATTAAGTTTTCTATGTCATATACCAATCGTCTCAGCTCGACGAGACCAGAACATGTCTTTGTGTGTAACAACAAATTTTCTAACCACTGAACCGAATTGTACGCAACAACCGGAGATTTGGTCGGAACATGTCGTGATTCTATAATTGGCCCTTATCGTTTTAAACCCATGATGTGACACCTCAAATCACATTAGAATTCAAAAAGAAGATCAATAGTGGTCATATTAAGCATTCAGGACCAAATTGACCACATCCAAACATGTTCCGGGTCTTTGGTTGTTTACAGTTCCATTCAAGAGCCTAAACCCATCATACGACATATGAAATCAGGAGGAGCTTAAATAATTACTGACTATTTAATGGTAGATTAACAAACATGAGACAGGTCGAAAAATTGTGGTAGGGTAGAGAACTACGTCGGCCTAAGTGCCCATTTTGGGCCTGTCAAGCAGTGAACATCAAATAAATCCATGATTTCGGCGTTAACAGGTAAATTATGCGTTTGGTACGATACTTTAGTTCAAATGCTACCGAACGAAGTCAATAAGAACGCGTTATATGAATGTTTGCACCCAATATTATCAAAAAAAAAAAAAAAAAAAAAATGAAGCGCTCCGACCGAATCAATCTTTATCTTTATTCGATAGACCGAAGTGAATTCATTGGCGTGTCAATGCGTTAGTTTAGAATCCGTAGGCCGAGTTTGGCGTCAAGAAGCAGTATTAGACTTTTGAAAATATCTCAACAATTCGGTACGTCAATAGGCCGGAAATGAGGTAGTTAACCCTATCATCGTTTATTGATCATC